GGAAAATATATACTTCGCTATGCGTAAAAATATTTTTCGTTGCGTTAGAGAGTGAAACAGGTCAAGCTGTAGAGTCCGGCGCGCGCTCGAGCCGCGATTCGATCGTCCAAGATCAGGCAAAAATTAAAGATAAAAAGAACTACTCGCTTCAGAAGAGTCTCTTTTTCTGTGCTCTTAGCGCACACGTTTTTTGAGCGGCACACAAAATTAAGAATCTGCATCTGCGTTTATTATTACCTTTTTAAACTCAAATCGACCATCCATCCAGAGCGCCCGAAAACTTGTTTTGCCTTCCAAGTAAGTGGTTAGATCAAAATATGAAGAATAACTCCGTTTAAATTCAAATAATTTTGACACCTATTAGAGAAGTTCATTAGCTTTCGGAAAATATATACTTCGCTATGCGTAAAAATATTTTTCGTTGCGTTAGAGAGTGAAACAGGTCAAGCTGTAGAGTCCGGCGCGCGCTCGAGCCGCGATTCGATCGTCCAAGATCAGGCAAAAATTAAAGATAAAAAGAACTACTCGCTTCAGAAGAGTCTCTTTTTCTGTGCTCTTAGCGCACACGTTTTTTGAGCGGCACACAAAATTAAGAATCTGCATCTGCGTTTATTATTACCTTTTTAAACTCAAATCGACCATCCACCCAGAGCGCCCGAAAACTTGTTTTGCCTTCCAAGTAAGTGGTTAGATCAAAATATGAAGAAGAATAACTCCGTTTAAATTCAAATAATTTTGACACCTATTAGAGAAGTTCATTAGCTTTCGGAAAATATATACTTCGCTATGCGTAAAAATATTTTTCGTTGCGTTAGAGAGTGAAACAGGTCAAGCTGTAGAGTCCGGCGCGCGCTCGAGCCGCGATTCGATCGTCCAAGATCAGGCAAAAATTAAAGATAAAAAGAACTACTCGCTTCAGAAGAGTCTCTTTTTCTGTGCTCTTAGCGCACACGTTTTTTGAGCGGCACACAAAATTAAGAATCTGCATCTGCGTTTATTATTACCTTTTTAAACTCAAATCGACCATCCATCCAGAGCGCCCGAAAACTTGTTTTGCCTTCCAAGTAAGTGGTTAGATCAAAATATGAAGAATAACTCCGTTTAAATTCAAATAATTTTGACACCTATTAGAGAAGTTCATTAGCTTTCGGAAAATATATACTTCGCTATGCGTAAAAATATTTTTCGTTGCGTTAGAGAGTGAAACAGGTCAAGCTGTAGAGTCCGGCGCGCGCTCGAGCCGCGATTCGATCGTCCAAGATCAGGCAAAAATTAACGATAAAAAGAACTACTCGCTTCAGAAGAGTCTCTTTTTCTGTGCTCTTAGCGCACACGTTTTTTGAGCGGCACACAAAATTAAGAATCTGCATCTGCGTTTATTATTACCTTTTTAAACTCAAATCGACCATCCACCCAGAGCGCCCGAAAACTTGTTTTGCCTTCCAAGTAAGTGGTTAGATCAAAATATGAAGAAGAATAACTCCGTTTAAATTCAAATAATTTTGACACCTATTAGAGAAGTTCATTAGCTTTCGGAAAATATATACTTCGCTATGCGTAAAAATATTTTTCGTTGCGTTAGAGAGTGAAACAGGTCAAGCTGTAGAGTCCGGCGCGCGCTCGAGCCGCGATTCGATCGTCCAAGATCAGGCAAAAATTAAAGATAAAAAGAACTACTCGCTTCAGAAGAGTCTCTTTTTCTGTGCTCTTAGCGCACACGTTTTTTGAGCGGCACACAAAATTAAGAATCTGCATCTGCGTTTATTATTACCTTTTTAAACTCAAATCGACCATCCACCCAGAGCGCCCGAAAACTTGTTTTGCCTTCCAAGTAAGTGGTTAGATCGAAATATGAAGAAGAATAACTCCGTTTAAATTCAAATAATTTTGACACCTATTAGAGAAGTTCATTAGCTTTCGGAAAATATATACTTCGCTATGCGTAAAAATATTTTTCGTTGCGTTAGAGAGTGAAACAGGTCAAGCTGTAGAGTCCGGCGCGCGCTCGAGCCGCGATTCGATCGTCCAAGATCAGGCAAAAATTAAAGATAAAAAGAACTACTCGCTTCAGAAGAGTCGCTTTTTCTGTGCTCTTAGCGCACACGTTTTTTGAGCGGCACACAAAATTAAGAATCTGCATCTGCGTTTATTATTACCTTTTTAAACTCAAATCGACCATCCATCCAGAGCGCCCGAAAACTTGTTTTGCCTTCCAAGTAAGTGGTTAGATCAAAATATGAAGAATAACTCCGTTTAAATTCAAATAATTTTGACACCTATTAGAGAAGTTCATTAGCTTTCGGAAAATATATACTTCGCTATGCGTAAAAATATTTTTCGTTGCGTTAGAGAGTGAAACAGGTCAAGCTGTAGAGTCCGGCGCGCGCTCGAGCCGCGATTCGATCGTCCAAGATCAGGCAAAAATTAAAGATAAAAAGAACTACTCGCTTCAGAAGAGTCTCTTTTTCTGTGCTCTTAGCGCACACGTTTTTTGAGCGGCACACAAAATTAAGAATCTGCATCTGCGTTTATTATTACCTTTTTAAACTCAAATCGACCATCCACCCAGAGCGCCCGAAAACTTGTTTTGCCTTCCAAGTAAGTGGTTAGATCGAAATATGAAGAAGAATAACTCCGTTTAAATTCAAATAATTTTGACACCTATTAGAGAAGTTCATTAGCTTTCGGAAAATATATACTTCGCTATGCGTAAAAATATTTTTCGTTGCGTTAGAGAGTGAAACAGGTCAAGCTGTAGAGTCCGGCGCGCGCTCGAGCCGCGATTCGATCGTCCAAGATCAGGCAAAAATTAAAGATAAAAAGAACTACTCGCTTCAGAAGAGTCTCTTTTTCTGTGCTCTTAGCGCACACGTTTTTTGAGCGGCACACAAAATTAAGAATCTGCATCTGCGTTTATTATTACCTTTTTAAACTCAAATCGACCATCCACCCAGAGCGCCCGAAAACTTGTTTTGCCTTCCAAGTAAGTGGTTAGATCGAAATATGAAGAAGAATAACTCCGTTTAAATTCAAATAATTTTGACACCTATTAGAGAAGTTCATTAGCTTTCGGAAAATATATACTTCGCTATGCGTAAAAATATTTTTCGTTGCGTTAGAGAGTGAAACAGGTCAAGCTGTAGAGTCCGGCGCGCGCTCGAGCCGCGATTCGATCGTCCAAGATCAGGCAAAAATTAAAGATAAAAAGAACTACTCGCTTCAGAAGAGTCTCTTTTTCTGTGCTCTTAGCGCACACGTTTTTTTAGCGGCACACAAAATTAAGAATCTGCATCTGCGTTTATTATTACCTTTTTAAACTCAAATCGACCATCCACCCAGAGCGCCCGAAAACTTGTTTTGCCTTCCAAGTAAGTGGTTAGATCAAAATATGAAGAAGAATAACTCCGTTTAAATTCAAATAATTTTGACACCTATTAGAGAAGTTCATTAGCTTTCGGAAAATATATACTTCGCTATGCGTAAAAATATTTTTCGTTGCGTTAGAGAGTGAAACAGGTCAAGCTGTAGAGTCCGGCGCGCGCTCGAGCCGCGATTCGATCGTCCAAGATCAGGCAAAAATTAAAGATAAAAAGAACTACTCGCTTCAGAAGAGTCTCTTTTTCTGTGCTCTTAGCGCACACGTTTTTTGAGCGGCACACAAAATTAAGAATCTGCATCTGCGTTTATTATTACCTTTTTAAACTCAAATCGACCATCCACCCAGAGCGCCCGAAAACTTGTTTTGCCTTCCAAGTAAGTGGTTAGATCGAAATATGAAGAAGAATAACTCCGTTTAAATTCAAATAATTTTGACACCTATTAGAGAAGTTCATTAGCTTTCGGAAAATATATACTTCGCTATGCGTAAAAATATTTTTCGTTGCGTTAGAGAGTGAAACAGGTCAAGCTGTAGAGTCCGGCGCGCGCTCGAGCCGCGATTCGATCGTCCAAGATCAGGCAAAAATTAAAGATAAAAAGAACTACTCGCTTCAGAAGAGTCTCTTTTTCTGTGCTCTTAGCGCACACGTTTTTTGACCAGCACACAAAATTAAGATTCTGCATCTGCGTTTATTATTACCTTTTTAAACTCAAATCGACCATCCACCCAGAGCGCCCGAAAACTTGTTTTGCCTTCCAAGTAAGTGGTTAGATCGAAATATGAAGAAGAATAACTCCGTTTAAATTCAAATAATTTTGACACCTATTAGAGAAGTTCATTAGCTTTCGGAAAATATATACTTCGCTATGCGTAAAAATATTTTTCGTTGCGTTAGAGAGTGAAACAGGTCAAGCTGTAGAGTCCGGCGCGCGCTCGAGCCGCGATTCGATCGTCCAAGATCAGGCAAAAATTAAAGATAAAAAGAACTACTCGCTTCAGAAGAGTCTCTTTTTCTGTGCTCTTAGCGCACACGTTTTTTTAGCGGCACACAAAATTAAGAATCTGCATCTGCGTTTATTATTACCTTTTTAAACTCAAATCGACCATCCACCCAGAGCGCCCGAAAACTTGTTTTGCCTTCCAAGTAAGTGGTTAGATCAAAATATGAAGAAGAATAACTCCGTTTAAATTCAAATAATTTTTACACCTATTAGAGAAGTTCATTAGCTTTCAGAAAATATAAGAACTGGTACAAAAGGACACAACCCTCCAAGAGAGCAGAAAAAAAAATGAAAAATGCCATCAGCACTCCGTGTTCCCAGGTGGTCACCCTCCCAAGTACTGACGGAGCCCGATGCTGCTTAGCTTCGGTGATCGGACGAGAACCGGCGTATTCAGCATGGTATGGCCGATGGCAGGTACTAGGGCAACGAATGTTCGACTGCTGCCTGAGAAGATTGGTACACTCGGCTGTGGCGCACAAAATGGTAGAGACCCGCGGCAAAACAACACTCATGACAAAAGAGGAATCACTCACCCAAAGCAGTGCTTGTTTTCAGGATTACAGAGAGACACGGGAGGGAGGCGTTGGAATGAAAACCCGTTTCCAAGATAGATCGGTACTGGTTTGGCCCTGAAAAGGGCCGTTTTCGATGTGTGTCCGACGGCGAGACGGCTGTTAACCACCGAAACCATAGAGGGTACGGCCTTGCCTCTTGAGGGCGTACACCACATCCATGGCCGTCACGGTCTTCCTCTTGGCGTGCTCGGTGTAGGTGACGGCATCGCGAATGACGTTCTCCAGGAAGACCTTGAGGACGCCGCGGGTCTCTTCATAGATGAGGCCGGAAATGCGCTTGACACCACCGCGGCGGGCTAGGCGACGGATTGCAGGCTTGGTGATCCCCTGGATGTTATCGCGAAGAACCTTGCGATGGCGCTTGGCACCACCCTTGCCCAGGCCCTTGCCGCCCTTGCCTCTTCCAGACATGTTTGCTGCAAAAACAGGGACGGAAAACACGACCGCACCGTTCGCCTACTTCAACAAAGACTGGCGGCAATGCTCTACGGGTCCGACCAAGTGAACCCACGACGGCCTCCTCCTCTCCCGCCGACGAATGGGAGCAGTCCTGCAGCTTCGTATTGTGGCCGACAGGTGGCTGCGCACTGGAAGCAAGCGTGTGTTGATGAAATGCATGGCTTTAGCAAAGGCATTCATACACCTCGCCCGTTTTGAGTCTTCATAGTTGTATGTGCAAAACATTGTTTTTTCTAGGTTCCAGGAGATATATATTTTAGCGGGATTAAGATTCGTTTTCGCTAAGTCAATGGGAGAAACATGTCAACTCAGGAGTGCCGAGCTTTGCACCGATGCAGCTAGTCAAGGGCCCGTTTTCACATGCGAATAAAAAAGAGTTTTATAAACGTTCGAGCAATCTATTCATCGGAACTTGTACAAGACACACTCTTCTCACGGCACACAAAAATTAAAGTTTCTTATCACTGGCGTTTTTAAGCGCGCAGTGCAATTCACCGCCATGGTGAGCCGGGTCGACAGCAAGTTGGGTCACCCAAGAACACAGTTTGATCAAAATATTGACTTATATAAAAGGGTCCGGTTTTAAGTGCTCATTACACGGGACGAAAAGTCTTTTTGGCTGGCAGAAAATTTGATACTGAAAAACTTTTTACCAAGCCTTCGGTCTGTTAAGAAGCAAAACCTGCCACCCGAAAGCGGCCAGTTCGTGCCGCTGCCGCGAATCGCGCAAATGAAGTAAAGTAATAAAACAATTTCGTCTAAATTCAAATGCTTTTTACACCTACCGAAGAATTTCATTAGCTTTCAGAAAATATACACTTCGGTAAGCGTAAAGATATTTTTCGTTGCGTTAGAGAGCGAAACAGGCGAAGCCGTAGGGCCGGCTTCGCGCTCGGGCCGGAATTCGATCGTCCAAGATCAGGCAAAAATTAAAAATAAAAAAAAAACTACTCGCTTTAGAAGAGTCTCTCTTTCTGTGCTCTTAGCGCACACCTTTTTTTAGCGGCACACGAAATTAAGAATCTGTAGCTACGTTTTTTATTACCTTTTTTAAGCTTAAATCGACCAGCCGCTCTTAGCGCCCGAAAACTAGTTTCGGCTTCCAAGTAAGCGGTTAGATCGAAATATGAAGAAGAATAACTCCGTTTCAATTCAAATGCTTTTTACACCTATTGAAGAAGTTTATTAGCTTTCAGAAAATATATACTTCGATATGCGTAAAAATATTTTTCGTTGCGTTAGAGAGTGAAACAGGTGAAGTTGTAGAGTCCGGCGCGCGCTCGAGCCGCGATTCGATCGTCTAGGATCAGGCAAAAATTAGAAATAAAAAGAACTACTCGCTTTAGAAAAATCTCTTTTTCTGTGCTTTTAACGCACACTTTTCTCTAGCGGCACACAAAATTAAGAGTCTTTATCTAGCTTTTTTTAAACTTAAATCGACCAGCCACCCAGAGCGCCCGAAAACTAGATTTGGCTTCCAAGTAAGTGGTTAGATCAATATATGAACAAAAATAACTCTGTTTAAAATCAAACGCTTCCTACACCTATTGGAGAAGTTCATTAGCTTTCGGAAAATATATATTTCGATATGCGTAAAAATATTTTTCGTTGCGTTAGAGAGGGAAACATGTGAAGCTGTAGAGTCCGGCGCGCGCTCGTGCCGCGATTCGATCGTCTAAGATCAGGCAAAAATAAAAATAAAAGTACTCGCCTTAAAAGAGTTTCTCTTTTTTCTGCTGTTAGTACACACTTTTCTTTCGCGGCACACGAGATTAAAAGCCTGTATCTACGTTTATCATTGCATTTTTTAAACTTAAAATAAGAACACTCGAATTTAAAAGCAAGTTATTTGATACAACCGTGGCTCTAAAAAGAAAAACGCTGCAACTCGAAAACACAACACTTTGGAGTATGGGCTCCCAACGGCTAAAAACCACGCGAATATATCCTTTACATACGCGAGCGATGTGCAATATTTAGGAAGGTCACTCGTGCCCTCAAAAGCAATGAAATACAATGTTTTTTTTCACCGAAACAAAATTAACGACATCCGACTGTGGCTACAAGAAGCCAAGTTCGACTGCACAACAAGAAAAAAGACATACTCTTTGCAAACATGCGCGATGCAGAAGCACTGGGTACTCACATATTTCTTGAAAAGAGAGACACGGGAGTTGGAAGTCATCGAGAGACGGCCGTTTTGCAGGGATGAGTATGGCCCTCAAAAGGGCCGTTTGTACATACAGCAGGGAGATAGCTCCTGGGTGTTATTTGGAACTGGTGTACTTGGTGACAGCCTTGGTGCCCTCGGACACCGCATGCTTTGCCAGTTCACCCGGCAGCAGGAGCCTCACAGCTGTCTGGATCTCCCGACTCGTGATGGTCGAGCGCTTGTTGTAGTGAGCCAGCCGAGACGACTCTGCTGCGATGCGCTCGAAGATGTCGTTCACGAAGCTGTTCATGATCGACATGGCCTTGCTGGACACTCCGGTGTCGGGATGGACCTGTTTGAGCACCTTGTAGATGTAGATGCTGAAGCTCTCCTTCCTCTTGCGCCTCTTCTTCTTCTTGTCGGTGGCACGCACATTTTTCTGTGCCTTGCCCGCCTTCTTCACTGCTTTTCCGCTCGGTTGGGGGGGCATCCTCGCGCGACTTGTCTTCGGGAGAAGATCGACGTTGTTACTCGCAAAAAGATGGCGAAACAACAACTGGGGCAACCTGAAATTTTGAGAGAGAGAGAGAGAGAAGTCTTGCAAAAGAGGAAAAACCATCGTTGGAGTTACAGCCATGGGCCGAACGGTCATCGTTGGATTGGGAGGAAGGGAAGGGGATAAAAGCTGATAGAAGAAAAAAATTGTGAAAAAAAGAGAGAGGGGGGTTGTTTCGCCAAAGCCGACAAGCGGGGCGCGAGGAGCCACAGAAAGTGGCTGGCAGAAAAGGGGGCGGAGCCGAGGAAGGAAGGAGATCCTTTAAATGTCCGAGTGTCTTGTCCAGAAGCCTGTAGCACATCTTCACAGAGTCCAGGGTGAACGAATCGGGTTCGGCACGCGGTGTCCGAATTTCCAAGCACTGTCACCAGTCACACCAACACCAAGTTTCCCAGTATTCCGAGCCAAAGTGCAATGGGTCGGCGAGCATCTCTCTGCGGCATGTATACACAACACGGCGTTGCGAAAGGATTGGGGGGAACATTAATAGATTCCGTTCCCTCAACAGGGGCGGTCGAGCCTATTGTATGCATAAGGGACATTCCGCAGAGTGCTACGGAATGACATTCTCTGCCTGTGTTTGGCTGAGTGACCCACGCGATTTAACGCGTGGCTCACCAAACGCAAAGGTAGAAATTACTTGTATGGCATTTTCTGACAATGCCTGACCCTTGGCATGCCTAGGGTTTACTAGCTTCCGAATCTATCATTCGAAACCTTTTCACGGCTGGGCGAGGTTAGTTCCTGCCCATTAAAAAGAAAAAAAAAAGAATTCCGAATTTATTATTCGAAACCCTGACTCAGTAAGGTTATTCCTTGCCAGCGAGAGAAGAATCAACATAAATATAAAAAAAAAAAATGGCACGGCGCCAGAGCGGGACAGCGCGCGGGGAGACTGTTTTGCCAAAGCAGAAGGGGCCCCGCGCGAGGGGCAGACCTGGCGAGAATAAAGAATAGAAAAACAAAACGCCGGAGGGAAGCTATCAGTTAGGATTTGCACAAAGAGCAGTCCCTGCTGCGAGGCAGGAAAGAAGAGATCAAAAATAAAAGCTAAAAGCAGACAAAGAACGCGAGAGAGAGGCTGTCAATCAAGTCGTGCGCGAAGGACGCACCCGACAAGAAGCGAAGCCAAAGAAAGAAAAGATAACCAATACAGTCTAAAAGTGTTAAGGCTGCGGTCCCACGGCGGCCATGACATATGACGCTTTCCGCACGTTTTCAAAATGCGATTGTGGCGTGTTCAAGCTTTCTAAAATTATGTGTTATATATCACCTTGTCCTGTACAACATTATCTTTCCTCTGATGTAGGATTTGTTTCCCTAGTGCAAAACGCTAATTCAGTGGGCACCCGCGAAAATTGGCCTTTTCGGCAAAACATGGTTTCGTAGTACAGTGGTACAGGGTGCACAATTGGAGAAATTTATTTCAAATTTTAGAATGTTATAGAAGAAGAGTGCGTTCATTGTCAACGGAGGCCCTTTTTTCGTTTTTTATTTTATTTTGACAGATATTTACTTTAGAAAAATTGACTTTGCGGAAGCACTTCAGTCGCGAAGTTTTGGGCGCCTACTCGGTCATTTTATTTGAAACTTTTTACATCAGTTTGTAATTATGGTAGAAAGAGTTACGCTAAATTTCATTGTAATATGGCTTAAACTTTTTTCGGAATGCTCACGTGAAAAGTGACAAAAACCGTTAATTTTGGCAAACTTCATTTGGTAGTACAGTGGTACAGCACTTAGGGATTGGCACACATGAATAAAATTGTAGGCCCGCAAAGAAAAACATATTCTGCTTTGCAAAGCGAGGCCCTTTTTCTAAATTTCACCTTTGAGTTTCCATAAAAAAAGTTTGAATATAGGCGAAATCACGAATTTGTTGATAGTCAAAACCGAGTATTTTGACCCTTTTTGGCAGACATTTAGGCCGATATTTTTAGTATTAAATGGAGATTACTGTTCCAGGTCCTGATTATTAGCCCACATTTTCACCAATCGAGCCTATTTATTAAAAAAAAATCATAAAACATACAGAAAACACAAATTGGATGTCTGGTTGCGCCCTCTATGTGGCGGTGGCTGAAATGTGACTACGCGAGGTTCAGGAAACTGCCAAGGATGGCGCTGATTCCAGCTGTGGTTGCCAGCTTCGGAAACTGGTTGTACACTTGGCTTCTTCCGTTTCTTGCAAAATAACGTGCTGGAAAACTTGCTCGAAACTCTTGAGGTCCTTTATAACACGGTACTTTCTGCTAATATAGGTTTTAGGAAGAATTTCAGTCGCTTTCATATTGTCAGACGATTTTTTTTTTATGCGAGGCTCCACCGGTTCAGTTTGCTGAATAAATTGTTCACGCAATCGATATCGAAGTTTCAAATTACCGAAATGCCAAAATCGCCAGTTCCGCGTAGATACGCAGCGTGACGCACGTGCTTCTGGTGCG